AGGACTTTCTGTTACTGAGACATCCTCTGAAGTAGCATGAGTTCAAGGCCCAGTTTATGAGCCTTCACAGTGGTAGGCTGTCCATCAGGTTTGCTGATCTCTGTGTCTAGTACTGTAACTGGGGCTTGGTGTAGCTCAGGGAGATGGGTACTTATGTCTGTCAAAGTGTATACATTCATCAGGATCCAGATGCCCAAATAATGGATGCCTTCTGGCTTTGTGTTACATCTTCAGGGATAAAGAGCTACTTGCTGTACTTCTCCGAACTGGAAAGAAGTATTTCCAGGTTAGTATCAAGAGCAGCTGCTCCCTGAGAGTCACTTCTGAGCCAATCTTTCTCTCATGATCACAAGTCATGTGACTCATCCAGGCATCTGTTGAGAACGTGCTACGATAAAAGCCAAAATCCCTACAGACTCCACTGGAATTCACTAGGTCACTCAGCAATATGCTCCCCACTTACTTTTCTTTCTTTTTTTTCTTTTTCTGGTACTGGGGATTGAACCCGGAGGCATTTTACCACTAGGCTACATCCTAAGGTCCCCTGCTTTTTTTTTTTTTTAAGACAAGGTCTCACTAAGTTGCTGAGGATCTCTATAAGATGCTGAGTGAGGTTGGCCTTGAACTTATGATCCTCCTGCCTCAGCCTCCCAAATCTCAGGGATTACAAATATGTGCCCCCTATCTGGTTTCATTTACTTTTGTTGTTGTTGTTCTTTTTAGTTTTACATGACAGTAGAATGTATTTTGACATATCATACATACATGAAATATAACTTCCCTTTTTTTTGGGGGGGGGTACTGGGAATTGAACTCAGAGACACTTAACCACTGAGCCATATCCCCAGCCCCATTTTGTATTTTATTTAGAGACAGGGACTCAATGAGTTGCTTAGCACCTCTCTGTTGCTGAGTCTGGCTTTGAACTCACGATCCTCCTGCCAATCCTGAGTTTCTGGGATTACAGGTGTGTGCCACCACACACAGCCATAACTTCCCGTTTTTGTGGTTGTACATGATGTGGAGTTACATTCTTTTTGTATTCATATGAGAACATAGGAAAGTTATGTCTGATTCATTTTACTGTCTTTCCTACTCCTATCTCTCTCCCCCCTCATTTATTTTTCTTACAAATTCCCAGTCTCTAGTTGCGGTATTAATTTTACCTTAACTCTCAGCATAATGTCCTTAGCCAAAGGGCTAAATCATTGTCCCAACCTATTCCAGACTGTGACAATCATGTGTGGGAAAGAGGGAAACAGAACAAGAAATTTCTATGTAGAGAAGTTGAAATTTTTTCTTTCTTTGAAGTTTCTGGAACCTAGGGTGTCACACATGCTAAGTATGTGCTTTACCACTGAGATACTTCTCAGAAGTTGAGATAATTTTAAAACTGTTACTTAGTTCACTAGATCTGGGGATATGAACAGTTCACTGAATAAAACTATTTTACAAGAATTGAAGAAGAGTTGCTGAGAATTCTTAATATAATTGTATAAAATATTCACTATGTGAGTTTTGAAGATAATCAAACAGTATACGGTAGCAGTTGGGTATAGATTCCCGAGTCCTATGCTCCAGAAATTTTTTATTCACGATTCAGTTAAATAGCTCTTTAGTTCTGGAATATATTCCATGAACACAAGACAATTATCTTCATCTTCAAGCTTAATTTAACACTATTTACCAAGCTCATTAATTAAAAGGTAGTGTATCTACCTAATCTAGGCATTCATGCATTATAAACATGGACAGTGACATAGTCTCATCTTTCAGTTCCCTTATGGGACAATTTTTTTGTCTCTGTGCATTCAAGAGTCACCTCCACCCATTGCCCATTCTGTAGATAAAGAAGGGTATTTACAGTTGGACTCTGATCTATAAAACAACATTCAAAACCATGGCAGGGCTGCCCAAGCCCAGGGTCCATTGACAATTTAGGAGACAACCAATGTTTCTTTCTTCTCCCTCAGATCTACTTCTGCCCTGTTCTCAGTTCATGGAACAAGCCCTGCTACGTGCTTTTCCCCAAGGTCTCAGACAAGGCCCACACCCACGCCCAGCCTCCTCGTCTGGCTGGCTCCAGTTCCCACATGCACTTTGCTGATGTTAGAGGGCACTTCACAGGGCACACCAGACAATGTAGTTCTGGTTACACGCTGTCAAGTGCTTTGACAATTATACCACTGATGTTAGTCTTGCCTTCCCCTACAGAAGTTCCTGGAAAGGTACTTAGTAACAATAGCTCCTGGCACTGGGCCCCCACTCAGAGCTGGTACTCAGTCAATAACCACTTATCTTTCTATCAAGTCTTTCCCTGTGAGAGTGGCGAGCAGATGAAGGAAACAATCCTACACAGGCCAGGCTCTGGCTTCCCTGGGGCACCTGCCAGGCAGTGATGTCCTTGATACACACCATGGAAATGCCTATGGCCAGTCTGCCCTCTCCTAGCTCTTTTAAATTCAGTTTCTTTGGAACTCCCCCACTTTACCTTCTCCCCATCCCTTCATAGCACCCCTCCCTGCATTTAATTTAAAGCATTCATGAAAGTTATTTTTCTCTCCATCTCTGCTGCAAGGTACAGTACCTGGATTTCAGATGAGGAAGTCTGGCTGGCAAGATGATGGATAAATGGGTGAATGTCTGGACTAATGGGAGGGTGAGGACGTGGATGCGTCAGTAGAAAAATGAACTCTCCTTTCCTGGAAGTGCCCTGGAATGACCCCTTCCAAAGGGCAGAGGTCTCCACTTGTTCAAGGAATTAAGACCCCAGTGAGATTCCAGTGACTTTATAAGATGAAATTTGTTAAAAAAAAGTTTGTGACTTAAAATCTGGGTGCAGTGGTGTACAACTGTAATCCCAATGACTCAGGAAGCTGAGAGGCAGAAGGATCATAAGTTCAATGTCAGCCTCCACAATTTAGAAGACCTGTCTCAAAATTAAAAATAAATAAATAAATAAAAGGTCTGGGAATATAGGTCAGTAGATCACCACCTCTGGGTTCAATCCTTAGGACCACAAAAAAGAAAACATTCTAACTTTAACTGGGTGTGGTGGCACACACCTCTAATCCAGCTACTTGGAGGGCCTGAAGCAGGAAAATCCTAGGTTCAAGGCCAGCCTGGGAAATTTAGCAAGACACTGTCTCAAAATAAAATTTATAAAAATGCTGGAGATGTAGATCAGTGGCGGAGTGCTTGCCTAGTATGTGTAAGATCCTGGGTTCCATTCTCCAGTACTGAAAAAAAAATTATAACTTAGAAACTAGAATATTTATGAACATATAATCAAAACACGGCAAGACATGAGGGCAATTCTACAATTTAGCATACACAAACATATTCATTTATACCTCGTTGCTAGGTAATACATTTTGGGAATGTTCAATGTTTTTTATTCACTACTTGTAATAGAGGGCCATTAGTTCCCTCAATCGAGAGCAAAATGTATCTACTATCAACATCAATTATTTTTCAATCTTGAACTTGAAAGCTTTTAAAGAAAAAGACTTTAAGATCTCACCCAGAGCTTCCTGGTCTTAGCTGTATGCTTGAATTACCTGGGGAAGCTTTTAAAAATCTCGATGCCCAGGTTGCCTCTCAAATCTATTACATTAGAATCTCTGGGGAGAAGACACAGGCATCTGTATATTTTCCTCTTTTGAAGAAATGTTTGGGTCAGGTGCAGTAGCATATGCCTGTAATCCCAGCTACTCAGGAGGTCAAGGAGGATTGCAAGTTCAGCCTGGACGACTTAGTAAGAACTTGTCTCAGTTGGAGATATAACTCAGTGGTACAGTGCTTACCTAGTATGCTTGAGGACATGATTCAAATCCCCCATACCAAAAATTTTTTGGTTTGGCTTTGTTGTTGTTGTTGTTGTTGTACTGGGGATCAAACCCAGGGTTTTGCAAATGCTAAGCAACTGAGCTATACACCCAGCTCCAACATGCATATTTTTAAAGCTTCCCAAATAATTCTCATGTGCAGACAAGACTGAGAATCACCACTCAACCCTTATACATCTAAGGCTAATATAAAAAGACTTACTATGCAACCTAGAGGGTTTTATGTTCCCTCTGAGAGAGTTGTTTTGTTTTGTTCATGGTATAGGGATTGAACCAAGGGGTGCTCTAACACTGAACTGCATCCCTGGCCATTTATTTAGAGACAGGATTAAGGCTGGCTATGAATTTACAATCCTCCTGCCTCAGTCTCCCAAGTTGCCCAGCTGAGAGTCAGGTTTGAAACCATCCCTCCCCATCATCTTGTTTTTCCTTTTCTTCTATTTCTGTCCTAACAACCAAGAATAGCTCAATGGCTCCAGCGACGAGGATCCAAATTCAGGAGAACTATGCTATCATTTTGTGAAGTCTGTACTTTTCCACTCCTGAATTTCCATGCCTAAAACCAGTTTCGGGAATTGAGGGAAAGAGACAGCTGCCATAGAGTCAGATGTGATGGTGCCTGCAATCCCAGCAACCTGGGAGGCTGAGGCAAGAGAATGGCAAGTTCAAGGACTGCCGGGTCAATTGAGCAAGACCCTGTCTCAAAAAATAAAAAGGGCTGTGATATACCTGGGTTCAATCCCCAGTACCACCAAAAGAAAAAAAAAAGTGGTTGTTTTTAATTGCTAGATTCTCTGTGTCTGCAGTGTGGTTTCTGGGCTGGACCATTTCATTGATCAGTTGGAAAGGGAAAGTTGGAAAGCATCTAGGGATGCTTCCTGGAACTTGGAGATAGTTGGGTTCAGAGGAGGACATGGGAGAGCATCTCTCAGTACCCCATCCATTCATTCTTCCAATGCCCACTAACTCTGCAGGGCTCCTGGAGTAGGTGGAATAAAAAGACTTGCACACAACAACAGCAGATTGCAGTTATGTATTTAGTTTCCTATGTACTTGAACAACAAGGGCCATGGGAAGGGGAAGAGAAATGCTGGAAGAGCTGCCTGGCTGGAGTACCTGACTTCGGCTAAGACATGGATTCCTAAGCACAATTTACAAAATCATTTTCCTACAGGAAAATCGGCTTCCACAGGGGTAGCAGGGGTTGCAGGGGTCGCAGGGGTTGCAAGGGTTGCAAGGGCTGCAGGGGCTGCAAGGGTTGCATGGGTTGCAGGGGTTGCAGGGGGAAGCACAAGGGTAGCATGGAGACTCGATCTTGACACAACTGCCGAGGCCGTAGGAGTAGGTTACATCCTTTTCGTCTACACATGGCGGCAAGCTGAACTCTTTGCAGATGTTCATATAGCTGTACTTTTTGGATCCGAGGCAGTCGTACCTGTTCTCCCGTTCAGCTGACACACACACCTTTCCGTCCTTTACTCGTACTTTGACTTGATCAGGTTCAAAGCCACACACGTTCACTGACCCCAAGATGTTACTGCTACAGCAAGAGGAGGCCAGGATTCTGTTTGTTGTTCTTCTGAGCCTGGAATTGAGAAAAAAGGACAGAGTGAGAGGAAGGAGCTCAGACACAGCCCAAGAAGCCATATTTTAATCTCTATCTCCCTTTAATAGCAAAAGCTCACACTAGTCATCATGAAAAATCAAATTTACACAAACGAGGAACATAAAAAGTGAGAGTCCCGCTACATGAATCACACTGCCCTACAGGTCAGCCTCTGTTAACAAATGGGTGCTTGGCCATTCAGGTCTTTCTCTTATATTTCAATTCTAGCTCCTCCTCTATTAATTATGAAACCATGGGGGGTTAGCATTTTACTTAATGCTGTGCTTGGCATGTTTCAAATCTTATTTAATTATTACAATTATCATTGATGTTTCTACAATTACATACAGACAGTAGTTTTTTAATGGGACACAATTGAAAAGATACCATTTAAACACTATATATTACTTGGAAAGGCAGATGGTTTGCTTGAGCCCAGGAGTTTTGAGACCCACCACCTGGTCAACACAGTAAGACTCTGTCTAAAAAAACAATAAAAACATGACTGTCAGCTCCGCCACTGGACAATCACCCAGACACTTGACTTGAAAAGTTCCATCAGCAAAGAGGGCAGGAGAGAACTGACCTGGTTCTGTCCACTAGGCCTGACTCCTCTTGCTGCCATGAAGTGGCTCCAGATTCTAGTGACCTGGTGCCAGAAGGAATTCAGTCCTTTTGGCAGGGCTGTGTCCATCAGATATGGGACCACCCACCAGTGGCATGTTGGTTGGGATCCTACCAGCTTTCAAGAGCTCATGTGTGCTTCTTTTCTCAGCTCCTCATTTAGTGACTTCACATTAATTGTTCAAAATCATGGAAGGAATATTTACACCACAGCAAGTGGAAAATGCTACAGATCAGAACCAGTTGTCAAATGCCATTGCCATGGCTCCTAGAGAAGCTGACAGTTGCTATTCATGTCCTACCATGTAAATCTTTTTTTAAATATATTTATTTTTCAGTTCTTGGCAGACACAACATCTTTGTTTGTATGTGGTGCTGAGGATCGAACCCGGGCCGCACGCATGCCAGGCAAGCGCGCTACTACTTGAGCCACATCCCCAGCCCCGTAAATCCTTAATAAGAAATTAACAGCAGCTCACACTGATTGATCAGTTAGGATACATCAAGAACTAGTAAAGCCAAGTGCCCAAGAGCACAGTCTCTATAGAGTATGTTTAAATCTCAGTTCTGCCACATGGACAAGTTTTTTAACTTCTCTGTGTCTCAGTTTCCTCATTTGTAAAACTGGGACAATAAGTAGTCTCCTACCTATTGTGTTATTGTGAGGTTTAAATTAGTTAATGCATGAAAAAAAAAGTCACAACTGTGATTGGCACATGGTTAGATTGTTAGGCTTTTGTCTTTTTCTGTTGTTGCTATTTGTTTGTTTACAATTTGCCATGGAAAGTGCTAAGCAAGTTACAAAGAGTTATTCCATTTAATCTTCACAATAACTGTGGTGCACATGTGATTATCACTGTATTGCCTTTTTTATGCTGAATTTTGTTTAAACATTTGCTTCTTTTTGTTATGTAAGTTATATAGGTCCAGAAAATATAAAGAAAAAGATTAATTTTTTTTAAAGAGAGAGAGAATCTTTAATATTTATTTTTTAGTTTTCGGCAGACACAACATCTTTGTTTGTATTTGGTGCTGAGGATCGAACCCGGGCTGCACGCATGCCAGGTGAGCGCGATACCGCTTGAGCCACATCCCCAGCCTGATTAAATATTTTTTAAAAATTCATAATTACATACCACACTTAACTCTTTTGTGTTACACTTTTTTCTGTGTGTGTGTGTGTTTCTACATACAGTTTTGTGTAGGTTCTTAAATTCATGCTACACACACTGAATTTAATCTTCACTTTTCACTTGACAAGACTTCACAGGATTGGTTTAATAGTGTGAACCACTTGTACTGAAAATTATACACCAAGACTCTTAATGGCTAATTACAAAATGACCAAGTACAACTTGGTCCTAAGAGACACTGAGGCAAACAGAAACAACTTGAGTCATATACCCAGAGGACTATATAATAAGTCACTCAGCTCCATTTCTACCCCCAACCCGAAGGAATCTGAGGATGGCGGGGGTACAGTAATCTTTTTTGCCCTGGGTATACTGGAATACCCTAGGCCATACTAAGAAGAAAGGAAGAGAACTGGACTTTGAAATTGCTATCTCTGAGAGGCAGCCCAGAGATCAAGCACATTATCTTACTAGATAGAGAATAACTCACAAAAATGCAAGAAACAGCCCAAACTCTAGACATGTTGCTCTCTCTGGATAGATCATAGCTTGAAGCTGGGCATGCCTATAATACCAGTGACAAGGAGGCTGAGACAGGAGGGTCACAACTTTGAGACTGGCCTCAGCCACTTAGCAAAGACCCTCAGGCAACTTAGTGTAACTCTGTCTCAGAATAAAAAGGCTGGGGATGTGGCTCAGTGGTAAAGTGTCTCTGGGTTCAATACCTAGTACCCAAAAAATAAGATCAGAGCTTGAAGGAGAGCAGCCAAGGCCATAAGTGAAGCACAGAGTAGGTACTCAGGGTTTCTCAGATTCTCCACGGTGTGCACATGGGCTGAGTCAAATTACATCATATCCTGCTGCAAAGAAGGGGCTTGGACTAACAAAAGAGGGTTCAAAGACCCCAAGCAGGATTTCTAGATCCCCAGTGACTGCCTGAGCTGATTCTGCCCTCCTGCCATCTGTAGGAGATGGATCTGGCAACCAGACCCACCAGGCATTGCCAGCTCCAGGTCCATCTCCACTTAGATGCCTGAATCCCAGGTACAACTTCATGCATTTTGTTCCCCCTTTCTCCCCTATCCCTACCACTTTGGCTTCTTTGCAGCAATTATATAGCTATCCCACACTGGGGGTTTTTGAGAAATGGCCTAAAACTCTTGGCCAACCAGGTCTCTTCTTGCATTTATCTCAGTGGTTATGAGCAAGAACCTGTGGGTTTAAGGGAACTCGCAGGAGTCACATTTTGCTCATCAGACTCAACTCTGAACTTGCAACTTGACTTTGCCATCAGCCTAAATGGGATTTCCCATGGCTCTCTGGAGTTCTGGGCAAGGGGAGATTGCCTCTTATGCTTTTATCACAGAGCTGAACCAGTTCCTTTGGTTCTCTGTTGAAGACTCATAGAAAAGCTGGAGACAGCTTCAGGCCAAAGGCGCCTGTGTCTGCACTCTGTGCTAGTCTGTTTCGCTCTGCTGAAGCTGAGTTTCACCTGCACATCAGACCACACTCCTGAATGTGAAACACCACCCACGCCCATGAGGAGCTATATGAGCAGCCATCTTCATACAGATATAACTCATATTCATTCCTGTGATTAATAAAGGAAGATGTCAAAAATTACTCTATCCACCTGAGAGCAAGGGGAAGCAAGCCTTCTCTAAGCTTTGTTGGAATACTTTGCTTTTCTTCCATTTTTACAAAGACCCATGTAAACACATCCTTCCCTTTCTTTTCTCCTTTTTTCCTCTCTCCCCTCTTTTTGACTTTTCTCCCTTCTCTAGAATTTGGTATTAATATGGCAGACAGTTCACTCAACAAGGAGTAAACAGTGTAGTCTGGCTGCATTTGACTTTCCTGCAGGGCTGGATAAAACACAGGTGTCTGGATCCCCACCCCAACCCCACCCCCCCACCCCCAAGTTTCAGATTCAGTTGCTCTGGTGTGGAGTTGAGAATTTGCATTTCTAATAAGTGCCAGGTGACTCTGCTAATGCTGATCCAGGGACTACACTTTGAGAATCACTGGCCAGGTGGTGAGGTACATGAATTTCTCACTCAGGTGAATGTGTTTTCAAGTCAGGGCTCCACGATGTCTCAGTGATCAAGATGGTTGCCCTAGATCTGATTCATCAACTATATGATGATAGAGATAATAGCAGCCCAAAGGCACACTAGGAGAATTAAATGAATGTGAATACTGGGTACGTAGACATTACTCAATAAACAAAATTCTTCTTCATCATTCCTTCTGTAAACGAACTTACCCAAAATCTGAGGTTTTTTTTTTTTCTTTCTTTCTTTCCTGATAAAGGAAGCAACTTCAGAAAGCTTTTATTTTTTTCAAGTAACCAATGCTATTGATGCAAAACAAACAAAAAAACCCCAACAACTTCTCCAATACTACTTTCAAAACCAACACATCACATTTTATTTTTATTAGAATGTAATTATTTTTTTCTATACCAGTTAATAAAAAACCAAGACCCAGACAAAATCTGAGTTTTTAAGTGACCAAGGCCCAAGTCCTATATCATTAAACAATAAGGTCAAACTAAATAATAGAAATGATTTTCACCAGCTGGGTATGGTGACACACAGCTGTAGTCCCAGTTACTCAAGAGGCAAGAGGATTGTAAGCTTGAGGCCAGCCTCGGTGATTCAGTGAGGTTCTATTCCAAAATAAAATGAAGGGCTGGAGGCGTAGCTCAGTGGTATAGCTCCCCTGGGTTCCACCCCTAGTCTCTCTCTCTCTTTCACACACACACACACACACACACACACAAAGAATGTTTTAGGCTTAGGTGGCAACTCCTAGCCTCGAAACCAAGGGGGACTGGGCTCCAAGACAACGGGTACAAAGAGATTATGATGAGAGAGCAACCAGGGGCCAGCTCTTCTGTCTCTCAGAGGACACAGGGAAGCTGGCTCTCTGTGGAAAGCCAGTCTTTACCAGTCATAAAGCCCCAGTCTGACCCTGACTCACTGACTGAGAGAAGACTCAATGAAAACCTCAAACTCATGAGTGTGGGGGGAGTCCAGAAAAGAAATGAGAGGGCAGGTTTTTGAAGTTTTGAGATGGCAGGCCTCCTGGGGGAACTTTGAAGGGAATTTCTTGTTGAGATTTAGGCCAACCACAGGCTCTTAGGTGAGTGGATGGAAGCACAGCTTCAGGATTCATTTCTAGGTACCAAAGAAGGGTACAGAGGGTGAGGCCAGTGTAGCTCAAGGTACAACTGTAAACCAAGATTCATCTGGCCACAGGACTAGTGCCGGTGTCAAAGCCACACCTGCATCTGTTCATGAGGTCATAAACTATGGTCAGGATTGAAGATGGGTTGGAGCTGGTTTATTCCTCCAGCTTTAGTATTGAGGAAAGGGAACCCCATGAAGTGCTGTGGCTGATCAGGTACAAACTTAAGGCAGGATGATGTGGGATTTCCCCAAAGGAAACCAAATTCAGTTACCTCAGTCCTTCTAGATCCAGAAGAGTGAGGATGAGTCAGGGGCATGGCTAGTGCTTCGGGCATAAAAGGTAACTGGGGAAGGAACAGGCATACTGAAAAAGCTAAAGAAACCAAAGTGCTAAATTGGGTACCTACTAAGGAAGACACTGCCTCCTCTACCCCAACCCCTATGGTACTGGGGATAAAACCCAGGGCCTTGCAAGTACCCAGGGTGTTCAGGCAGTCTACCACAGACCTGCACCCACAGTTCCTTTGTATTTCATTTTGAGACAGAGTCTTGCTATGTTGTCCAGGCTGACCTCAAACTTGGTATCTTCCTGCTTCAACCTCCCATGTAGCAGCTAGGAGTACAGGTGTTTGCTACCACACCTGGCTGACACTGACTTTTGAAGCAGCTACTCAAGCAAGAATGGATACCAGGCCATGGATACCACAAAAAAAAAAAAGTAAGAAAGAAAAGAAACAATGGAAGTGAGTTGGACCCTCTATGCCTGGTCTAAAGAAAACACTATATATATAAAATACATATACGTATATATCCATCTATCCATATATTATATGTATGTTATATATTATATGAATATTATATATATATATATTTATATATATATTTATTATATATTATATAATTATATATATTTATTATATAATATATATTTTTATATATATTTATATATATATTTATATATATTTATATATATATATAAATGACAGATACTCAAGAATGTTCAAGAAACTTATGGATGAAATTTAAAAATTTTTGGCCAAGAGTTTTTACTCATTATTAGAGTCATACCCAGACACATAACAGATTGACTCTCGCATAGAAAGTAATTTCAGTGGGGCGGAGGCAACTACAGACTAGGAACATAGAACCTTCTGGACAACCCAGAATGACATCTGAAAGATATGTCATAACTAACCAACGACTCAGCATTCTTTAAAAGGGTGAAAGGTCATGTGAATATGAATTCTAAATCCACAAAGCCTTGGACAAGATTTCACACCAAAGATTGTTTTTAAAAAAGTTAACTCAACATAATATTTCTGGATCTCTTTAGTCATGGATCAGGAGCTAGCTTAAAGATAAGAAAGAGGAGGTATTCCACCGGAAGAAAAAAATATTATCAGTGTGAGTCCTCTGGGATTGGAGCTGGGATCACAGCTGAACATTTTCACCTCTATTCAGGAAAATTGAAGATTTAGGTTTACAGGTGACACTAAGCCCTTTTGGATAGGGAGATGTCAAGCTGTCAGAAATAGAGCATAGAAATTTCATAGTATGAATGGGAAGAAGAGTATCTGGGAGGAGAAAAAAAAAAGAGGGCAAAAGCCTGAGGTCATTTCTAAAATGGTCTCAGAGTTATCCATTCAGAGAGCCAGGAATTAATGTAAGGAATCACCAGCTTCGAATCCTGCTGCTGGCACAGGAAAACAAACAAACAAAAACAGCCAAGACCCAGACACTGTCAGAATAAGCATCACAAACTAGAGAAAGCATCACCTCTTGTATGAACTACTCTGCTGGGAATTAAAGCTGGGCCAACTGAGCACCAAAAAATAGGGTCTCTAAAGTGGGATAAGGAGCCTGATGGCAAAGGGCAGAGAGGCATTGCCCTGAGGGGTGTGGGAAGAGGGGAGCTCAGAAGACCCGAGGTATAGAGGGAGTGGGCATAGACCTGCCCACAAGGAGCCCTTCCTCACAGTGTGAACAGTTTATAAACTTGATTCCCTAAGGAGTAAAAATAAACAGTGGTTCAAAGAATATGTGGATGAATCTGTAGGTGAATGCTCCATTTCAGCCTATGGGGAGGGGTCAGTCCTGATCTTTGGCCAAGGCTGATGACCTCGACAATTACTGTCCAATTACCCTTCCGATGAAACACCACTGTCACTGTTGCCAAGGGACCTCTCCTACATACCCACCCACCCACCGTTCATCTATTTTTCTAGGCATCTTACCTTTCTATGCTTATCTTTTAAAAAATAGGACAATATTAAACAGTTTTTCTAGATTTGCTTTTTTCACTTACCACCATCAATATGTAAAAATGCTTTGTCCATCTGTTTAACATCTACATACCGTCCCAATGTTTAGGTGGGCCATAATTTATTTAGCCAGAGGACAACTCTCTCCACCACTGTTTTCATCACTAGTAGCAGACTTATATAGACAGAGATTTCCTTCTTTACTCCAGGCAAAAAAGAAAATATGATCAAAACTAAAACATTTTTTAGATTCCCCAATTCCATGGAAACCCAACTCAAGTCTCCTCTGAAAGGGGCAACTGAGTTCTGTAGTTTATTTCCACAGCTTTTTCTGGAGTTGGAGGGGAAAGCCAATGTAATGGCCTCAACTCCAGAGGAACTGTAAGTCTTTGGAGTTGGGAGGAAGGGGAGAAAGATTTTCCTACAAGATGAAGGAAATGCCTCTATTGTTCAATTTATTCTCCTTCTCCTAAAGCCTCTGGCAAACATTAAGAATTTGATCAATTATTATTACTTGTCCTGCAGACATTTCTGTAAGTCCAAATACACTCAAATCACTTTACTCATAACCAGAAAAAATGTCTCGTTTGCTGCCTCCAATAGCTTTTTAATGACACCCCCTATTTCTTTCCCTCATTAAAGCCACCTAATTTGTCAAGTTGGCACTCCCGCTATAAACCACCAGCTGCCCTCAACATCGTTACATTGTCTTTGGAGAATCTCACCATTCCTATTATGGACCCATTGACTCTTCTTAAATCTTTCCTAAGTCACCAGAGTCATTATCTTGAACATTTTTTTTTATCTTTGTTCAAGTATCAATTGTCACCCCCCCCCCTTTTATTTCAACTGATGAGGCTGAGAAACCAACTCTAAAGATCTAAAAGTGAGTTCTCTCACTTGGCAAGCTCTCTCTTTTCGTCCTCGATGGCTCTGATGGCTTTCCTCTCCAAACTCCTGAGGGACGGGCGAAGGCAGTACAGCTTGTAGTCACACAGGCAGCAAGGGTAGAGGTCACACAGGCCGCAGGAACGCGATCGATTCGAGTAGCACAGGCAGTACGGGTAGGGATGCAAGTCACAGCAGCAGTACGGGTGCATGTACAAGTCGCACAGGCATCGGGTGCTGAATTCATCGATGCATCTCAACTGTCTTAATTCTCTGTCCACCTTCTTTATGTCCCTTCTAACACTGTCCAAAAGACAACTCAGTGCAGCCATTACAATCACACCTTATTGTTCAGTGAGTACCTTTGGGAAATGGCACTCAAGGGAAAAAATTGTTCTAAGCTCTTCTCAGAGGTTTCTTTTAACAATAAGTGAGACTCACATGGCTCACTTACTTTAAGGCTTGTATTCTGTGACCTCACCATCCTCTGAGTATGTCATAATCTTCTGGTTGCCATGTGAACCAGACCCAGTCACACTCTCCAGAGACCCTCCTGAGAGCTACAGAGATACTCTCAGAAACATACTCATGTTGAGATTTCATTCACCTTCACATGCGGTGTCTCCCAAGCAATCCTGGCTCCTGGGTTCACGGGATTAAACTTGAATGTCCCTGACTTGTGTGTGCTCTGAGGATGAGCCATGGCTTGCCAGTGCTGATCTTGGTGCGCCCATGGCAGGAGCTGCCTGGTTCCTTTCTCAGTGCCCTTCTGCCCGAGGCTCAGTCTTGCTCTTTTTATTCTGGGATCCATTCTGGTTCCAGGCAGGAAGAATATTATAAAGAACTTTCATGTAGTTCTCTTTCTCCTGTCAAGTCCTCATCAAGTCAGCCTTTGTCCTTGACCTTCTGAGTCCCAATGTCCAGTCCTGCCCATTCCCCCAACCCAGCCCCTGCTGGGGATCAAACCCAGGGGCTCACACGGCCTCACCTCACCTGCCTGTTCTTGGCTTGCTGGGGTCCTGGCTGTCCTGGAACCTCAGTTCTCCATGGGTGGGGATCCTGCCTGGAAACTGCCATTTCTGTGCTCAGAGTCCTGTCCTCAGTCACCATCTCTCAGCAACTATAACTGTGGTCTTGTCTTCAAGCCTCCAGATTCCCCAAACGTATCCCACATGTTGGTCCTTGACACTCTTTTAGACAGTGGCCAGAAATCCTCGCTCCAGCATTTCCTGCGCCCTACTTTAGACCAGGACCATGTACTTAGCCTCAGATTTGGCTTGTGCTAATTCTCTGGGTACCAGAGAAGCCTTGAGCTGCTGCTTGGCTCTGACTCTCCTTTTCATGGATTAAAGTATAGAGAACTTGAGGACAAGTGGTTGAATGTGACACTGGAGAGGTGATAATAGTCAGGTTTCAAGGGACTTGTAGGCCAGACTAAGGAGTTTAAAGGATCATCAATTTTCTTCTTAGATTGATAAGAAGTTTGGGTTTTTTTTGTTTGTTTGTCTGGGGTTTTTTTAGTGGGGGAGGGTATTGGAGATTAAATCCAAGAGGCTTTACCCTAGGGTCTTAGTTGCTTAGGGCCTCACTAAATTGCTTTATTGATGAAGGTTGAAAGGTAGCTGGGTGCAGTGGCACAGGCCTATAATCTCAGCAGTTCAGGAGGCTGAGGCAGGAGGATCACAAGTTCAAGGCCAGCCTCAGCAATTTAGTGAGGCCCTCAGCAACTTTGAGACCCTGTCTCAAAATTTTAAAAAATTTAAAAGCCAGGGAAATGACTCAGTGGTTAAGTGCCCCTGGGTTCAACCCTCAGTATAAAAGAGAGAGAGAGAGAGAGAGAGAGAGAGAGAGAAAGGGAGAAAAGGACAGTCTGGACTGGGGATCCTTGCTATAGGGATATAAGGATAGCTAGGAGGAAGCTGGTGAGATCAGCTTCCCCTCCCCCATATTCATTCAGGCCCAATCAGTTTGTTCTCTACATTGTAGGCAGAGAAGTTTTATACATAGATCTATCATCCCTCAATCTCCCCACCCACCCATCTCTTGCCCTAAAACTCCTCAGTCTTTTCTATCCTCTTAAAAGAAGAATTAAAATCTGTTGGGTGTGGTTCTACATGTCTGTAATCCCAGCTCTTTGGGAGGCTGAGAGAGGAGAATCATAAATTTGAGGCCAGTCCGGGAAACTTAGTGAGATTAAAGTCTCAAAATAAAAATTAAAAAGGACTGGATATGTAGCTCCACGGTAAAGAGGAAAGAAAAGAAAAAGAAAAAGGACTCCGATGTGGTGGGACACACCTCTAATCCCAGCAACTCTGGAGGCTGAGGCAGGAGGAGCCCAAGTTTGAGGCCAGCCTCAGTAACAGTGAGACCTCAGCAACAAAAGCTATCTCAAAATGGAAAATAAAAGGGACTGGTGATGGAGCTCAGTGCTAGAACATTCCCCAGTACTGTAAGAAAACAAAAAGGACTAAAATCCTTAGGATGCTGATGATACGGCCTGTGCCCACCTCCCTGGTCTCCTGTCCCATCATTATGACTCCAATTCATGCAGCTCAGACACAATGGCCTCCCCAGAAGGCCACAAACTTCCTGAAGGCCATTCCATACTCTCTTCATCTCAATCTCCATTGCACAGTACTTAGACACCTGGTGTTCTGCCTGCTTGGAAATTGAACCCACCACCCCCTGACCTTGATCTAGTTGACTCCTAAAGCACCCTTTAGACCTCCACTTACATGCTCCTCCTCGAGGAAGCCTTCTCTGTCCCCCAGACCAAACCCTCTCATAACTTCACACATATTTCCTATATAACATTATTTGTCTGTTTCCCTAACTAGACTTAAAGCCACAGGAGCAGAGACCTTGACTACCATATAGCTAATGGCGCAGTAAGTGGCACACAGTAGGTGTGAATGAATTAAACAATTTAGAGGACAGAATGAGAAGCGTGGGAGGAATCAGTCATGACTCTTGGGTGTCTAGTTGGCAGCCTCCTGGTACCACTGAGACAAGAAACGAAGAGGGATGCTTTCAGGGGACATGGTTAACAGGAGGGGCTAGTGACAACCCTAAGGTAGAACTGTGCAGTGGCCCATGGATAAGTGGGTCTGGAAGTTGAGGGAAGCTGGGCTGGAGATGTGAACTAGGGAGCCACTGAAAACCTGGAGAAGCCGAGTGAAGGAGCTCATGAGGGCTGATAGGAGGAGGAGGAGGAGAGGCCGGAGCCTCTCAGCCAAAGTCCCTCATGTGTCACTAGATCAAGCCTGGCTCTCCTACTGGTTCAGTGGCATTCCCCAGCCTTGACCTGAGAGGCCCCTGGGTGCTGATGAAGTGTCTTAGCAAAGAAAACAAGTGTCCCTAGAGGTACTGGAGTGAGAGGCTGGCCCCTCGATTCACTTGGAATGAATCAAACAGTGAAGTTGAATAATATTCTTCTGTGGATAAAAGTCGATGCCCTTCAGGAGTGGTTTTAGACAGAGGTAGTGGCACATGGTTGTAGTCCCATCTATTTAGGAGGCGAATCAGAATTTCAAGTTTGGGGCTGGGGTTGTGGCTCAGTGGTAGAGCGCTTGCCTTGCGTGTGTGGGGTACTGAGTTCATTCCTTGGAACCACATAAACAAATAAAATAAAGGTATTGTGTCAATCTACAACTAAAAAAGTTTTTTAAAAGATTTCAAGTTTGAGGCCTGTCTGCTCAACATAGTGAGATAGTGAGAGCTCATCTCAAAAAAAAAAAAGTGATTTTTAATTCTGAGAGGCAGACTCCTCTTTCCCAAGAGTTAATTGCAAGAAGTGACCAGATTCCTCTAGCTCTGGATAACAGACTTCTAAACCCTTCTATCCTCTTGAATTCCATTGCTTAGCAAATGTCAGCAAAGGTTGAAACAGGCAAACTCTCAGTTTTTAACTTGTTAAATACACAGATTCAGGAGCTTAAATACACACATCTGAATCTCCACAGTGCATTATTAAGACGGCTATGGCTATATTTCAACTAGGATTCTTTCTTTATACCATTTCCTGGTGATTTCACTCTTCATGAAAGAATATTAACATCATTTCAAATGACTAAATAAAGGTAGAGACTGCTTTAAAGATTAGATGGAAATGGGATCTATTCATGTCAGAAGAACATATTGAAATTCATTAGAACCAACTAAAACCCAAGAGGATGGCCCATAGGCTCATTTCCTGAGTCAAAAAACAAACAAACAAACAAACACACAAGGAAATTCTATGAGTCTAACGAGGAGGTGGCGGGGTCCATTGAAGTTCCCTTCCACCTTGGCTTGTGTCCAGAGAGAATGTCCTCTGGAATGAAGAACAGGCCTTGGCAACTTCCCTAGCTGGGCAATACTGGCCTGGGCCCCAGTATTGGCAGACTAGGGAAAGGTCCCTTCTGCCTCTTCCACAGGTAGGGCAGCTACAGGTCATGTCTTTTCACTAGGCCAGTGTCACAAAGGTATTCCTCTAGCAGTTGTGGGATTATTGTTCTTGCTTAAACATTAAATACCAAATCATATACACAGCCTGATCTCAACTTCATGAAAAAGAATCCATAGAAGGAAAGAAACAACTTAAAAAATTAACTGTGGTTTTCTCTGAGAAGCAGGATTACAGATAGTGTTTGAAATTCTCTTTTCTATACCTGGGGGGATAGCTCAGAGGTACAGTGCATGTATAAGGCCCAGGATTCGAATTCCCAGCATCCAAAACAACAATCAAGTTCTCTAGACTTTTTTGTGATCTCTTAAGTTTCTTCTAGGAGGATATCATTGATTTTTATAGTGAAACACTTTCCAATACTGTACTGCTAGCGCACTATTAGCTTTGTGCTAAATAATTAAGCTCAGCTCTATTCTCCAACTCCGAAATCCAGGTGGGCTTTAGGATCATGGCTCTAGGCAGGCCACAGGGGACCCTTCCTGTGTGATAGACATCTGCTGTTTGTCCTGCCCATCATTCACAGCACCTTCTTTTGGTAAAATAACTTTCTCCTCTCCTACTCTCACTCTTCACCATTAAGTCTACCAATAAAGTTGTCTAGCTGAAGGAAAAGCACATAAGACAAGAGGGCCAATTCAATTCTCTTCAAGGAACCTGGGGTTTGGCAGATAGACATGAAGCCTGAAGACAGCTGTAGTGATTCATTCTGAGAGTGGACCTTGGAGAGACTACACCTTAGTGATTGCTCTGTGCTGTCATTTTCAAAATGGTCCTTGGTTTTCTGTGGGCTTGTGAGCTCCTCTCTGTCTTGCCAATAAACTCCTGTTTCTTAAGTTAGTTTATTTAGGTAAAAGAAATAGAAACTGACTGACTAACTGCAGTGAC